AGACAGGGTCGTCCCAATATGCGTTTTTGCAATTTGCATATAGGCAAAAACGCATAAAAATTGGAGACAAAGTTAAGGACTGTGCGGATGAGGGCTGTCTAGGTTTGTGCTGAACTGCTGAACAAGGAACTAGAACCTCGCCGAGGGAGGAAACTCAGCAGCCCATTAGCACCTGTCTGGACGGGAACATTCCCATAAAATTTCAGCTTTCTAGCGTCTCAGAACCTCGAGTTATGAATTTGCGCAGGAAAAATTTTGGGGGGCCCGTACGTGGGTACCACGCTTACCCGGGGGCTGAATTTGAGCTCACTGCGGTAGTAGCCCTCGCAAAATCCTTATCCGAATACACTTTGCGCAGTAAAAAGCGAGTCTTTGTTGCTGTGCTTACTACAGAACATTTGTAAAGTATGCAATTTCAAGAATCGCAGAACGCTCACATCTGATGTTTCCCACTAACGAGGAATCCACCGATCTCAAGCCACATATTTCGGCTTCTTTACATCAGTCCCTAGCAATTTTGTCGTGAAACTCTTGTTCGGAGTAGGATTTTGGTTGCCTTTGCTGCTATTCTGCTTGCGAGTGCTTACTGTACTTTCTCAGGCCGATAGTATCATACTTTCAAATTCTCTTTAATTAGCACAACGAGTAAATCAGTGAGAGATCAGTTACAGGTACCAATGTAACATGGGAAATCGGTTAGTTTTATAAATGTGCATGAGACTAGTGCTTAGATTTTTGCCTTCCTTGGAACTCGCTACAGTCTACAGTTGTTTCCAATATGAATTTATGACAGACGCCTGAAATCTTTTAACAGGAAAATCAAAACTCGTCGACTTCCACCCCCTCCCCAGTTAAACGAGATTTCCCTTGACGTCTCCTTTTTAAAAAAAAAAAAAATTTTTTTTCCTGTTCTGGAAAATTTTCATTTTTCTCCTCACCTCAATTTATTTACAAAAATTCGCTTAGCATCATCATAAGCCCAACTTATTTCCGATTTCCCTATCGCCTGCAGTGGCCCTGTTCTAGGATTGTGGTGTGCATACTTCTATCACAAAAAATTTACAGTTCCGTCTAAACAGGAAAAAGGAATTACGATAAAAATAAACAGACATATAACGGTAATACAATGTCACATTTAAAACGGAAAAATGTAAAAAAAAATTGTCGAGAAAAAAACTTGTCAAAAAAGTAAAACTGCTTGTCAACTTCTGCCCCGTTAAGAGAAGAACGATCGCCCCAAAAAGTGTGAAATTAAGTATCGAGGCGCAGAATTTGGTCAAAAACTAGTCGCGTTTAAGCACTGGGAAAAAATACGAATAACCTGGCCAGGAAAGGCAAATAAATCTGGAATTAAAGCTCACAAAAATGTTACTGTAGAGCAGCTGTAATGCAAAAATAGTAAAGGACATTGTGGACGGAGAAGTCAGTATTATTGGGGGTGTACTTCCTGTTAATTGTTAGCTGACGTACACCACTGATATGATAAAATCGAATTTAGACTGAAACCGACAAAAGTGGATAACGTATCTGAGAGGGGAAACATACGGACACGCGAACAGTGTGGCACAAAATCATCAAAATTGAAAAACAAAAAAAAAGGAAAAAAAAAAACAAAGGTAGCAATTCCTGAGACAAATAGTATTTCGTGTAATTTCGTCCGGTTTTTTTGAAAGTAAAAAAAAAAAAAAAAAACATTGCAATCGTTCACCTCCAACTTCCATTTTGATAATTTGCAGTAGGAGAATAAGAGTATTGACGCGGTTTTCTACAATTCCGTTTCACTGATGAAGCAATATTTCGCGTCCCCAAAAATGCGAAAATTCTCAGAAATCAAGCAGAGTAATGTAAGAAAAAATGACAACTTCACAAAATGACAATTTTTGGAGTGATTTTTTGAAGCGATAAACAATGACCAATGGATATATGTACAGGCTAGTGAGATGACGTTCGGATATATTTCACAAAACACGTTCATCCAACAAAACAATGACCGCGAACAGAAGAAAAATCACCAAAAAAAAAAAATCCACTTCCGTCCAACTAGACTTCATGGCGACGATTAAAGCCCGCACAAAAACCCGAGTAATCCTGAAAATGCAGAAATTAGATAGGAACTTTCCCGGTCCAGCAATTTGAAGTAGGAAAAAAGCTACATAATTCCGGAAAACCTATTAAATGTTAAAGCAATTACAATCCGAAATTACAAAAAAAAAAAAAAAAAAAGCAAAAACTTGCCGTAATTTTTGTTTAATTTGCCTTTTGTCCGTGTACACGGAAACGATACAGGCATGTGTAGTCCGAATCCCAATTGGACAATACCACCAATTCGATTATTGATGTTGGCTCACTGAGTTCATTCTAAACAAACAGAATATTACAGAAATGAAAGCAGAAACTAATTACAAGTCTGAAAACGAATTTAAGACGAATCTGAAGACGAATTCAACCTGACTGTAACAGTTTAGGCCTTCCGATCCTGAGCCATCTCCACCATCGCTTTCACAGGAAAACACCAAAAAAAAAACCCCTGTCTAGCGGATTTAATTCTCCGAACTCTTGGTAATATTCAGACTAGTCATAAAGAAACGTTTTAAGCATTTCTTCTCTTCACCACTCCCCCCTCCCCCTTTTCCTGTTCTCATTGCCTTCATCGCCAAGCGCTTTTCACATGTGCTTTTTAATGCAAAAAAGGCAATAAACACGGAAAAAGCTGGAAGAAAGAACCCTTTCCCATTTTAATCTACATGAACCGGGCAAAAAAAAATAGTCTTAAATCACAAATATCTAATGCAAGAGCAACATGCTTTCACATTCAGAATTAACTGAAGTTGTTCATTATAAAGAAAATGCTGTAATAAGCAATC